CCCCCACCCCAGCCCTCCTGCCAGACCTGCCTCCCCCGGCGCGCCCTCCCTGCCCCCGCCCCGGGCGGGCGCTCCCCTCGTCCCGGAGGCTCCTGCACAACTACCCGGAGCACGTGGTCCTTCCCCAGGCCACCGCAGGGCTTCGCCACCCTGCGGCGCTGGCCTCGCGGTGACCGGTGACTGAGACGCAGCACCGACCCTCCCCACGCAGCATCCACCTCCCGCTGAACTTCAAGGGCGTCACTCTGGAGGGAGGGAGGGAGAGGGCTCCGGCGTTGCCAACGACCCCTCACCCCACAGCGACCCCTCCGCCCTCTCACTTTGGAGAGCAGGGGAGCCAGCAGGGCAGAGGCCGAGGCATTGGGAAACCGAGGCCCAGAAGGGCGCAGGAATCAGGGAGAGGGGGGGAAGCGTGGCTCTGGCCCCCTAGGGTTGGAGAGAATCTGAAGAGCTCTCACCCCGTTCCTGCTGCACCCAGGTCTACTTCTCTGCGAGGAGTGACTGGAGAGCACCCAAGTCTGTGGCCACCATGCTGTGCCGAGGTAAAGCCCCAAGAGGCGCTACCTAGGTGATAGCTCCTGTAGGTGTGTTGGTCCTTACTAATAACAGGCAGATTTCCTGGGCTTAAACCCCAGCCCTACCACCAAACCGAGTGACCTTGGGAGAGCCACTTGACCACTCTGTGCCTCCCTCTTCCTATCCATAGTCAGGGGTCACAGTTGCACTTGGTGTTGAGCATGTAAATGTGGAGCAGGCAGCAGGGCCTGGCACCAGGTGAGCCTCACACATGCCCTGCAAGGGGCAGATGTCAACCTCCCAGAACCCCAGGCAGGCCCCCACTAAGAAGAAGTCAAACTGGGGGACCCTCACAAGGCACACCAGAAGCTGTCTCCTCACTGTGTCCTGCAGGACCAGCACAGGGCTCTCCCCTTGCTGGTCCTTTCTCTGGGCCACTTCCTCCTGTAGGCAGCTGGGTTTGGGAAGAGACAGACAGGGTGTGCTCCATCCTCCAGAGGATGCTGGGGGTGGAAGGTGGTCAGCAGGGGGACACAGCTTATGGGTCCTGCTTGTGCCAGGGCCTGGGCAGGTTTGGAGGCAGGACCATGGAGCTGGACCAAGACCCAGGCCAGGCCTTGCTTCTCCATGACCAAGAAGGGCGTTTCATTCAGAGGCCCTTCTGCCTCTGAAGACCTTATTTCTGCAAAGCCGAGCTCTCAGGGTAGCTGGAAGAGAAGCCACACCAAGGCAAGGCGACTTTCACATGAACCTTGGAACACACACTGTTGCCCATGGTTTCTTTCTACTCGCATCACACCCCATGCGCCCCGGGAGGCACCCCTTCCCTGGACACCCACATCTTCCTGCACCTCCGGTCTGTCCCAGGGAGGAGCCCTCACCCCTGCTGTTTCCAACCTTAGCTACCAGTGTGCTCTGGCCTTTGGTGAGGGCTCCTTGCCCCCTCCTCCTGCACATCCTTCCTTGCTGCCCTTGCTGGCTTCTGCAAGGCTTGCTCACGAGTGTGCCTGTCACTTTCACTGCTCTGCAAAACTGCTGGGATTCCTACTGCGAGCCCTGTTATGGCAGGTCTTTTTTCTCCCTGTCTAAGAGTAGGTGCCTGGGAAACCTTCGCTAAAAGACAAGCCCGCACTGTGTCCTCACCCTCCTATGTCTGGAGAGTCAAATTCCAGCTTGCGCTCTCCCTGTTCATTCAGCCACACAGCACACATAGGAGAAGCCAAGCCCCCTTTCCAGAGCCACTGAGGTCCTCTCTGAGCCTCAGCTTCCTTCTCTGTCGATGTGGACCATGAGAGAGTGCCCTGCAGAGCTAGTATAAGGACTAAATGAGGCCACGAGGACAGCATTTAGAACGGTGTCTGAGGTCAAGTGCAGGTGGCCGGATGTGTCCTGGGTTGGTGCAGCAGTCCAGGTCCCTTGCAGCCCAGACTTGGGATGCAGTATTAGACTGGAACGCCCTAGCTATTTGGGGCGTGTGTGAGAAGCTTTCCTAGGACTGGATACCATTCCTTGAGAGGCCAGCCATGTTCAGAAAAATCTCATCTCAGTTGACTGAGGGCTCCACCCAAGCTCCTTTCTAACTCCCCCTAGATGGAAATGACAGTGGCCTCCAGAGGCCAGAAGGAAGGGATAGGATGGCCAGCCATGCTGGGCAGGGGGAGAGGGGGCTCCGGCCCTTCCACCTGCCACCCCTCTGCTGGTCAATTGTAGGGCCTCGAGATGGCCCAGGGGAGCCTGGCGAGGTCCTCACCTCCCCCTTGCCAGTTGTGAGGCTATGCAGCCTGGCCTCTCTGCACCGCCTCTTGTCTGGGTGTTGTCCTCTTAGTCATGAGGTATGTGAGGGAACAGGGACAAGGGCATATGGCCCAGCTGACAGGAAGGGCCCTGTCATTGCCACTCTCGCCTGCAGGGACACACCCCTCCAGGTGCCCTTAGCTCTGCTCACACCTGCAGCAAGCTCAGCCTGGCCCCTCCCTTAGCAGCAGATTCTGCCTCTCTCGGCCTCCTTGAGAAATGGAGCTGCGACCCCTGGTGGTGGATGCTGCAGGACCACACACACTGTTGTCCTCACTGGGAGCCTTTTGCTGGTTCCGGACCCAGGGGTGACCCTGTAGTGATATGGATTCACAAACTCGTAGAACTGCAGGATAAAGTGGCTCCAAGGCTCCTGGTGGCCCCCTAGGCCTCTGGATGGTACAATGCAGACACCCTAAGAAAACCTATGCCCTTCATTAAGGTGTTCCCCAGTGAATTAGTTTTTTGCAGTTACTCTGAAGAACACAGTGGTATCACCACTGGAAGATTCCGTGTCCCCTAGACACTGGCCCAGGGAAAAGGAATGAATCAAGAACAGGAAGGGAGCTAAAGTCTGTGTGCCTGGCCCCCGCAGCTTTGCTAGAAGCCAGGCGCTAGCCATCGCTGCCAGGCGGGGAGGGAGGCCAGCTCTCTCTCATCCTCAGGGCCACCAGGGCAACCCATTCTACAGACAGGACAACTGCATCTCCTGGAGAAAAAAGCACCCACAGAGAGAAAGTGACAGAAACAAGGTTTGGACCCAGAACAAAGCCCAAGCCCAGGCTTTGAACCCTTATGCTTCCCTGTCTCCCAAGAACCCAGCAAGGGCCACCTGTGGGCTGGCCTCTTTGGCTGCGATCCTGGGTGGGCTTCTTGCTGTCAGGTCTCTATCGAAGCCACTAGCCAGCCCAATGCCTCTCTGGCTCCCTCCAGGTCAGCCTCAGATGTCAGGGCACCCAGGACAGTTGGCTTCTCAGGCACATGGAGCCTGGGTCTTAGCCTCTAGATGCCAGTGCCCTCCCTGTGCTGCAGGGTGGAACTGGACGCACCCCAAGAACCAGGACAGCTCCCATGGAATCCTGGGACCACCGACTCCTTGGCTGGGTGGATGAACCTCAAGGACTTGCTCCGTGAAGCTTTGCTTCCTCCATCCAACCTCTGTTTCAGGCTGTTCAGATGGATCCAGAATGGGTGTCCTAGAGAAGGCCTGAGGAGGGATAGAGGCAGAGGGGCTCTCCCTGGGAGCTGTGCTCAGACAGCCTCAGGAATGAGGAGGAAGGAGCCCGTTGACCTGGTGGGGCCTGAAGTGCCACCCTCCTCCTGCCCAGTGCCAGCACTGCCAGCACTGCCACTAGCCAGCAGGACCCTGCATCTCAGGATGAGACCATCCAGGCTTGCTCTCCAGCCTTCCCTCTCCTTCACCCAAGTGGCCATCCCCATGGGAATGGCCATCCCCATCTGCATGGGAAATCAAGTCCCAGGGCTGGGACAGAGGCTGAGTGAGGGGCCTGCAGGAGGGAGGTAGGGAGCCCCGGTGCCTCCTCCCTGAGACTGCTGGGTCAACCATGAGCACGTGCTGTGCCCTTGGAGGAGCAGGTCCCCGGGTAGGGGCGGTGCCTGGGGGGGGGCTCCATCCCAATCGGCCATCAAGAGGTCAGCAAGTGTTGGGAGGAGGCCCAGTGACTTCTCCACGAAGTTGGCTGGGGTCCTGTCACTCCTCTGATGACGCCTCCCACGGACTCACTCCTCTCAGCAGTGGCAGGAGCTGCCAGGGTCTCCTCACCTCCTTGCATGCATGGGAGGAAGGATAGTGACTCTGGGATCCCTACAGCTGCCTCAGCCAGTGGGGCCTGTGGAAGTCGTGTCCTGCCCCAGTGATGGCTGGAGCTCAGCTGCTATGTGAGGGTCCAGGGGAGGCTGCTGGAGAAAGCCACCAGGTGGAGGACTGAGAGCTGGACACGTCTCCAATGTCTCCTGACCTAATGATTGAGCAGGGCAGAGGGCTCAATGCACAGTCACTCGTGGGTCAGATGGATCTCGTCAGGCCAGAGGGGCTGGTCAGCATGAGCTTCCTGCCACCAGGAGCCACTTGGGAAGGACAGGCAGTTCCCACCCCTTCCTCATGCGCCGTGACTCTTCAGTACCACTCGCAGAACACCTGCTGACACAGGGGACAAGCGGTGAACAGAGTGAGCCCTGCCCTGGTGGAGCGGGCATTCT